CATAGAAGACAAAACCAAAGTGCAGCAATTAGAGTCGACAAAGACAGAAGCCAGAACACTCTGGAATCTAAGGATGCAAACACACATCTGCACACAATATGAAAACTTCGAAACCGAGCTTTGCAAACTGTACAAGCCCCGCCGCAGCTAGGAGAAGAGCGCGGCGGAGACCCAACGATCCGATGAGCATCAGCAGGTGACGGGCGGGAGGGCTGAATGAAAATGCGGCGGATGAGAGGCTAGCATTATGGCAGGCGGGAGCTGATGAGACGCAGTGGTCGCTCAGGCAATGCTCCTAGAAGGGTTTCTGTATCGCTTCATGCGACGGTGGTACCCCCAGATGGTCATCTCGGAGTCTGGTTCCAACGAGCTCTACAGCCGCGACGCGCAGGACGTCCTGCTGCAGCAGCTTCACTGGCGCGCGAAGCGCTCGGCTCGCCAGCTGAAGGTCTGGAAGCAGTGGTTTGACCGGTCGACCAGCGTCCTTGCCTCCACGGACGAGCCAGAGGAGAACTCCAGTCCGGACCTCTGAAAGAACGCTCTTTTTTCCCGCCCCCCCTCGACCACCGATCCTCTAGGGATCCTTTCGGCAGGGGACGTACAGCACTTGCAGCCGTCGAGCTGTCGAATTCGTCACGCTTGCAGCTCCGATAAAAAAACAGTGTGGATGCCTGTTATGGCCTCTGCTGCTTTTGGCCGTGTGACACTGCGCCCAGGGGCTGGAGTTGCTGTCGCCGAGCAGAACTTTGTCCAACTACTGTGCAAACACACTGTAACACTGGTGCAAGCCTCGATCCCGAGAAGGCCGCATGACACGTTGAGGTGGTAAGTCGCAAGATGAAGCGAGTAACATGTTAACAACCTGGAGCTGGGTGCTTCGAAGCGCATTGCGACACGAAGCAAGACTGGTATGTGCATGGTTTCATGTTCTTTAGCCACCATGCTTTTGCAGCGTCTGTTCTTCGCTTTCATTGTTATCTCACGATGACATGTGCATCATGCACGTATGTTGTGAAGCTTTGCACTTTAGGTTGATGAATTGGCAGTTTTCACAGGCATGCCGGATTATGTGCAAATTCACAATGAAAGACACATGGGCAAGCTGCTTGGCTCGAGTTACAACCCGATGAAAAAGCGGAGCCAGCATTTTTGTCGATTGGGTGGGCTGGTTGACCCCACTGTGTACCTGTAATTGGGATTGAGAAGGCGCTGGAGTCGTGTGTACGTTGATTCGTGTGTGAACTGCGAGCAACAGAAGCCATTCAGTAATAGCAGTACGACGTCATGTTGGGCAGATCGTCGCGATGGCTAACGTTGGCAGGTTATCGTGCCTTTTCCGGTGTCCCTGGCCATTCAATTAATGATCCGCAGGTGCGTGCCTGAGACAAAGGTTCAGGTTTATGTGCAATTGTCAGATGTGTGTGCAGGAGGGTGTTTTTTCGGTTGGACTATGTGGTCTCTGCATTTTCCATAGCTTTCTGAGACTGAGTTTGGTCCTGTTCTTCAAAAGTCGTAGCTTGTGGCCCGTTCAAAAAAGTTGGTGGCTGTGTTCGGCTCGAAGCAGCACATGTGTAAATGTCGGCATTCCAAATCATCCTTCGCGAGCCAACTCCAACCGTCGACGGAATCCTGCTACGGGTTGGATTTCTTCTTTGCTTTTTGGTGTGTCCTCGGCGTTGGCCGGCATTGTGCTGAGAGGTGCTGCAAGAAGTCGCCCATGAATTTCGTCTTTACGAGTCTGCGCTCTGCAACAACGACGTGAAGGCAAACGGCAAAGGCAGTTCGTGTGAGTCATGTTAAGTGTTTTGGGATGGCCCGACAGGCTCTTGACCGGTTCTTCTTTGACAATCCATCCACTGTTCGATTCGGCACATCGGAAAATCTGTATGGCTATGAGGCAGCATGAATGTGCGGGCACTAAATGTTTTCCTTGTTGAGACGAAAACACGCGCTTCGGCATCCCAGGCCATCCAAGCGTTTCGGCAAGGGAGATCTCCACCCGGTGATCGCAGAATCTTAAAGTCTGTGATCACCACCTACGGACCGGATTTCGCGGTCCCTCACTTGATCTGCCGCGACAAGCAAGCCGTGGGTTTGGTGCTGTCTGGAATTGCTACAGGGCATGTGCACTTCCGCCCAGGTGGCAAATGTTGAGTTTCAGCGAGACGGCAGCTCCAAAATTGGACGACAATCGCAGACATGGTTGCGCTGCTTGCGTTGCAAACGAGGTTGCCGAGCCTGCAAAATCAACTTCAGTCTTTTGTCGCGCGCGTTGGATCTGAGGAACTTCTGAGGGATGGAAAGTCGTCTCTGCGCATGTATCGATGATGGAAAAGTGAGGTGGGGCTATTCATTGAGCTATTTCAGGCAGCTGCGATCGCTTCAAAATGGGACATGTCCGGGTAATTGAAGCGCCTCATTTGCATGATACGAATACAGCAGCAAAAGCAGCCAAGCATGCTGCAGGACACATTCATGTGGGTATGCTTCTTTGTACGAAGCCTGGCTCGAACCTGTTGCAGGTCACATGCAGCAACACCGGTCAGAATATGGCTGGACGAAACATCAGGAACGACACCAAACATGAGTCCACACATTGTGGTCACGGAAGCAGCCGTTCTTTAAAGAAGCTTGTAGTTTCCACGAGAGCGGTGTGGTGTGCATGTGGGCCATGTTGGACAAATGCCTTGCTAATTGATGTATGGGGCCCAGCAGAAGGGCGGAGCCTGCGGCAGGCATCAGGAAGTGCGTCGAAACATGCTGCAATGCTTAAACTGTTAGCTTTTTTTTGGCATTTTGCAGAGGCTGGTTTCGAGCAGCTTTCCGCCGACTTGTGGGAAGGACGGATTAAGTGCGTGCTGTAGCTACACAGACTCAGGCCTCTTCCGGCGCTTGTGCCATCGTCCCAGGCCTCAGCGAGTCATCGGAGCCATTGTTGCCATCGTTTGGATTTGCACTGGAGCTTGCTACGGTCTTCCCTTCTCGATTCCACGCGCTTGCCGGCGTGCATCGGTCTTCTCTTTGGTCCTTACGTCTGGAGGCCAGGCACAGGCCGTGCTTCCCCAGCTCCCGCCATCCGGCAGTCGTGTGCTTGACCTCGGTGGCCTTCTACCTGCATCACTGGAGCAGGACCTCGAGAAAGCTATAGAGTCACTGGAGCGTGATACGCCGTATCGATTCCGTCTGGTGTGTCCTCCTCCTGGTTATGGCCCTCAGGATCGGGCGACATGGTCTGATTTTGTGAAACATGTGGGGCAGTACTTTGCGCAAGAGGCTCAATGGGATCCTGCCAACGCCGTCGTATTGCTGGTCTCTCCAAGAACCTCTGCCGGGCGCACGGCAAACCCGCTAAATTTTTCCGTTGCCACCAAGCTTACCCAACGTCTACAGTATCGGATTGCATCTGACACCTTTACCAAAATATCGAACAAGTATGGGGACCGAGATTTTGTCATGCAAACAGGGGAGGGAGAAGCTGCTGCACTCGCCGCCTTCAATGCAATCGCTTGCCTCCGCAAAGGGGTCTGCATGCAGCCGCTGCCCGATGACGAAGCTCGTTCAGTTGCTTTTGGAAGCAAAGCAGCGGTAAGCACCGCAGACGCCCTGGAAGCTGCTGGTATTCGATGACTTTGGTTTCACAATGTGCACTTGAAGTCAAAAAGGCAGTGCTGCATTGTTCATTGCGACCCATGGAAACAACTACCCCCACAGCTTTCTTCAATCCTTTTCTGTTGCGATCCGCTGCATGCCGTAGCGGTGATCCGCAGACGAAGCCTCAGTTCAGTACCCAACCCACTGAGCCAAGTTCAAAAGGTTGCTAGGACTGGCACAGATGCAGCACTGAACAGCAGTGTTAGAAAGCCCACTCTGATATGTGTTGTTGTGCTAGCAAGCACTGGCGTTGTGCAACATGGTAGTCTGGAGTCGATCCTTGCATGGCACGGATTAACGCAGGCTTTGTGTTGCGGGGATGTGAGCGTTTTTGTGCTCGCGATTCCCTCCATCGCTTGAATCTTTTTGGCAGGAGGTCATGGCTGAGGATTTCGTGGTTGGAAACTCATTTGACACATATGTGGCTCCTGTGACTGGAAGGGGTCTGAACTTGAAGGCAGGGTTCAGGGAAACTACTCAGTGTGGCAAGAATGCCGCAAGAAGCCATTGAGTTTGGACTTGCCCTCGCTCGACGGCCCTTGGAGCTTGCATGTTGAGGACTCTGCATGCTATGTCTGCTATGTGCCAAGGCCAATGATGCAGCGCTCGCCGAAGGTGGGAGCAACGGGCCAAAGGGGTCTGCCGTCGGGGCCGTGTCTCTTCGTCTTCCGTCTCTAAGAGTGCTGTCGCCTCTGAGTGGAGGCACCGCTGTCGCCACGGAAGAGGCCTTGGCCTTGGCTCAGGCCTTGGGCACGGACGAGGACCGCAAAGAGCCTTTAAAGGATATGAAGGAGGAGAGGCCCAACTCCAGCAGAACTCCGTCTGTTTCTTCCCGGCAGTCCATCCACGTCGCTGTGCCTTCCAACGTCAGACCTGGGGAGAAGTTTTTCGTAGTGGTGGACGACATGGAATATGAGGTGATAGCGCCGGAAGATTGTATGCCTGGCGAGATGATTGCAATGGATATCATGTCAGATTTGCGATACTGGGAAGATGCACCTGCGGTTATTGTGTATCCTGACCCCGATGGAGGCGACCGGCCCGGGTCAAATTGGAATGAATCCAAAGAGTACGAGGCTTCTGTGGCCGAGTCGGTTGCCACGGACGCCAGCATCGTACAGATTACTGTGCCGGACGATTGCAAAGCAGGTGACACCTTCTTTGCCGCAGTCAATGGCTTAGAGTATGAGATTCTTGTGCCCAAAGGCAGCAACCCTGGGGACGTGATCACCCTGGAGGTACCATCAAAACACGCAGTTGGAAAGTTCGCTGTGCCAGCTGCAACTGATGTGCCGTCTATTCTCGTACGAGATGCTATGACTAGCCAGGGCTCCAGCGAGACGGACATTTTTGCAGAAATTTCCGTTCCGGAGAATACATACCCTGGCCAAACCTTCGTGGCTATCATCGACAAGACGGAGTTCGAAGTTCCTGTACCGGAAGCCTGTCTGATACTCGGAGAAAGCTCTTCTTGATTGTGGCTCGGACAACTCAGGACGGCTACGGTCCTGGAGACCGAATGACGCTTCAGGTGCCTTCACGTGGCTTCATGCCGAGGCCTCTGCCGTCTGCCTGGCCCCCAAAGAACATCTTCCAGAGCACATTGCACCTTGCACATGCTTCCTATCATAAGTCTGCAGCACGTTTTTTTGAGGAGCTGCGGGAAATGCGCCAAGAGCTCCAAGAAGTGCGTCAAGAGCTGCAAGCCGTCCGGCAAGTGCAGATGTCTCAAAAGAGAGCTGAAGAGTCAACGAATCCAGGCTCAATTTTGGGAAGAGGTGTACGAGTGGCAGTTTGCGACTGCGCAGTGCAGACAGAGAGAGAGAGAGAGAGAGAGACATCGCCCCTTATACCCTGGGAAAGAAAGAAAGAGACAGAGAGAGAGAGAGAGAGATAGATAGAGGAGAGGCAACTCCCCACAGCCCTGGCAACAAAAAAAAAGAGAGAGAGAGGGAGAGAGACTGCAATTTCCATGGGGGTTTCCCCTCTTGGCTGTGTGGAAGAAGAGTGGGCTTTCCGTGATAACTCAGGCAACATGAATCGAAATCCTCCGGCGACTCAAACTTTATCGAGATATTCATTCCACCGGACTGCTACGCAGGCGATGATTTTCCGTGCCGAGCATGCATGTTGCGTGGTGCTGATACCATTGTAACTTCTTAATGTGATATCAGCAACAGGAGATGTCTTTATTGTTGAAGTGGATGACGTCGAGTTCGAGATGGCTACTTGGCTGATTTGCAAGCGGACATGCTTTTCGTCAGCAGTGTTATGGTTCGTCTGGAGTTTTTGGTTGTCTCCGTCCCTTTGATTTGATTGTTGATTCGGTTCTTCGTATCAGGAAGGACCCACGGGAGGGAAGGGAACGACGGGGAAGAGAGGCGAAGGCAAGCCAAGTTAACAGAAGGGAACGGAATGGCACGGAGGCAAAAATATCGGGGCGAGCATTCAGCTTCTTTGTTTCGCGCGACTCGCGGACTGAGTTTTGCACGGAGAATGATCACGTCGGTGTTGAAGGTTGTGATGAGGCTTTTATGACAATCATCTTTGTCTGTATTCCGACAATTTCATCCGAATGCCATGACTTTGGGAATGAACTTTCGGTGTTCCAAACGGTTGTTCTGATTATCAGCCAGAGATGCGTCATGGCAGAGTCATTGAGCAGTCATGATGAGCATGATCATCTGTATGCTATAACCAAAAGACCTTATCATAATGCTTACCTTTATGGAAAGACGCATAGCCATAGTCATCGAAATCGTCACGACGGCCAGAATCATAAATGCAAGAATAGTCTCCACAGCCATGAGGCAAACAGCCCTATCACCCATCAGATCGTAATAACCACAACAATATTGCTGCTGTACCGTGTGTGGCAGTCGTGGCTGGATAAAATTTTGTAGCAATCACACTTGCCATTTTCACCCTGTGTTGCAATACCATCGAAGCCATTTGCAGAACTACCGTGGAGGAGCAATGTTCATTGGTTCCTCACAAAGTATCTTTAAGGGACAGGTCCGGACTCGAAGGTGTGGTTTGCCGCGGGCAATCCAACTAGCTTGCTGCCACCCGTAGATGATTTGTTGGACTCAACACCCGCCAAGAAGGTGTGATAAGCAAATCAGAGGACCAACATGAGGCTCTGCAATTCGACAAGTAGCATGCAGATCTGTCCACGAGTCGAAGTATGTGCTCTGTACATCCAGGTTGTCCCGGAAGGCTGCACGCCGGGTGAGGTGATTTACATGGATGTGCGCGAGGCCTGAACTGCATCGACCTGCGGCACCGCATGTTGTCGCAAATTCGTAGCTCGTGCACAGTGCCGCTCCGAAGGGTGCTGGGTACCCAGCCAACGAGCTCAGCAGCAAGCAGAAGAGCAGCTCAAGACCTGCCTCAGCCGTCAAGAAAAAGATCCTGCAGGCCAGGCCGCCAGGCGGCCAGGATCACTTGAGATCGCACTCTGCCAAAACAATCCGTCAGGAGCTTGCAAAGGAGCAGCTTGCTCGCGAAGCCGCTGCCGCGGCTGCCGCGGCAGCCGCCCCAGCGGCCTCTGCAACTTCCGCAGCGCCGCGCTCCGGCTTGGAGGCCTCTGACCTGTAGAGGCAGCAGAGGCTCGAGCTTCTTCATATCGTGTTGTTTTGCAGGTCTTGGAAATCACGATTCCGGATGAAATTTGGCTTAACGATGATTCCCCTGCTGTGTTGTCTTTTTGAGCGGTGATACTTGAGAGCCGTTCACAATGCGGATGACCTGCGAGGATTGCTATCCAGGCGATGTTTTTGTCATCGAGGCGGGTTAGATCGGGTTAGAGTTTTTTGGAATGGGTTCGTGCTCCGTGGCAGCATGCTAGGTGAATGGCGTAGACATCGAGCTGGTTGTGCCAAATGAGTGCCAACCTGGTGAAGTCATCTACATGGACTTGCTCCCAGAAGGCTGTGGCTTTGCAGTAAACTTGCCTGGGAATAGGGCCGCGCTCCCGTGCAGGACGCGTCACCAACTCTCGGCCTGCATCGGGCACCACAGCTACGGATAAATCGATGCTTGGCTTCAACATGAACACTGCTTCGGCACATTTTTGTGTGAACTCCCTTCGAGGCACTCAAGGCCTGCAAGTGCCAGGAAGAAGGGCAAGGCCAGTTGTCAGACGTGGTGAAGTCCCCTTTTTTTGACTTCGACGTCCCCTTGTGTGTCCACACTGCCTCGTCGGCGTCGTCGTACTCTCTCTCGACCACACTCGAACCAACTAACGGACACCACACTCGTCGTTTGTGTCTCATTTCGCCTTGTCTCAGGCGATGGGAACCGAGGAGCCCTCCGAGCCCGAGCCCGGGACCGAAGGAGCCCCGGAAGCTCCGGCTTCGACCAAGCTGGAGGAGAAGCCGGGGAAGCCGGAAGCGGAAGAGGAGACGGCGACGTTGCAGGCGACAGCTCCGGCCCTGGAAGCCGCTGCTCCGGCTCCGGCCGCTCCGGCCGCTCCGGAGGGCCGTGCAGCGTCGGGGTCCATCGCAGGGACTGAGGAGGACCTGGTCGAGATTGTGGTCCCCGAAGACTGTGCTCCGGGTGACAAGTTCGTTGCAGTCTTCGAAATGGAGTTGAAAGTCCCAGAAGGCTGCGAGGGTGGCGACGTCTGAGACTCGGACGAAGCCCGGAGCTGCCCCTGACTCTCCGCCAAACTTCGCACCTGGAGGTCCTAGTGGCTGCTATGCCTCATGCCATACCTGAAGCGGAGCAGAAGCCCTACTTTCACATGCACGGTGCTCCTCTGACATGGTTTGAATTTTACACTGCCGTAATTCTAGGTTGGACACCACGGGATCTACCTCAGCACTTGGTAAAACCTTAGAGGCAGGCAAACTCCTCAAGACAAGTTCAGTGCAGAGAAGACGTGTGGCAAGGCCATGGGATGGACAAAAGAGATCGAGAATCTGAAGCAAGAAATGGAGAATTTGAAGCAGGCCTTTCCTGAAGCTGCTCAAGACTCCAGAGTGTTGGTGCTTGCACATGCAGGAACGCCTCAAGCAACTACCCGAGCCAGAAGTGCAACCATCTGCAAAAGAGGTCAGCACCCAAGCTGTATGCGGGCTTGAATGTGCAACATCCGAGAACCTTGGTTTTCTTGCAGGAGGATGACATCCAGAACTTGAAGAAAGAAATTCATCACTTAAAGGAGGACAACATCTGCAGGTATTGCATGACGATTTCTTAGTGCAGTGCTCGCTACTCGTGATGTTCATCTTTGTTATCAGGAGCACGCAAGGCTTCTGGCGCAGTCACTGCACGCAGCCAACAAGCAGCAGATGGAGCGAGTCGACGTGAAGGAACTTCGCTGCGCTGAATTTGTGGTGTGCTCAGTACTTGCCATGTTTTTGAAAGGAGAAAATGACCAAAGAAATGGCAACTTTGCGAAGGGAAGTCCGAAAGCTTAAACAGGACTTCTGCATGTCGGCTCCACGTCGAGCTGCATTTCACTCCTGGCCACGGTCGGGTCGAACTCCCACAGCTATTTCACGAGTTGTGAATGTGAAGGCCATCAAGGAACCACCTCCGAGCATCATGAACCTATTGGGAGCGCAGGCATTGGAGCCGGTGTCTACATGCTGGCATTTATATGTCCTTATTCTTTGCCATGTTGCATGTGTGTTGCTTTGCTAGAGGCAGCCGAAATACCCGTCCTGGACATGCATTTCAAGCTTGATGGGGAGCTGTCATCCTTTGACGAAGCAGTGTTTTCGTCGAATTAGAGCATTCCAGCCTATGTTTTTGTTCTTCACATTTGCGCATTTGCGCGTGGTTGTCACGAGCTAAGGACTTTACAAACTCTTTGGCGGAAACGTTGGGAGTCAACAAGTGCGAAGCTTGGTTGTAGTTCGACTCTTGACTCTTGACTGGCCGCCTGAATGTGATAAGAACTGAGACAGGTCCCTCATCCAGATACGCCTTTCTCCTGGCTCCGTCATAGTGGATGTGCCTTGGCAGATGGCTTTTGCCGGCATCCGGTGAACTCCAGTCCCGGCGCTTCTAGAATTTTGACGAGTCTAGCTTGACTTCGAGGCTTGTTGAAGTTCAATGAGCCCAACTGAAATTCAATGGGGCTAGCAAACCTTACCAAGAACTATTTCGTGGAATCTTTGGTTCGAGACCATTCCGAGACTATACTCAGTTCGATGATGCACATTACACTCCATCACTGGCCTGCTGACGTCCTTGACTGCAAAGCCAACTTGTCCATTGTCTTCTGAGTCTATTGTTCTTCCCTCCAGCAAAGCCTCAGCTAGCCACTTATGAGCCGCGACAGTTCCTACGATGCCAGTAGCGAAGTGGCCCGAACAGGACAGACGGTGAAGAATGGCTGCTTTCTTCAATTCCCTCTTTCTTAAAATTTGGGTTTCGACTGCTTCTTTCCGTTGCTCCAAAGGGTCGGATAGCTGAGGCAAACTTGTTTTTTGAGCGATTTTTTCAAGTCGAGGCGAGCATCTCAGTGAGTGACAGTTCCGTATTGCATCGGGCTGAGGAGGCCGGGTGTCGCACCACAGGGTTTGGGCTGCCGGGGTGGTGTCCGGGAGCCAGTGCTCGCAACAGCAGTGCGGCTTGAGGATTGCATGTTCTAGTATGATTCTAGTATCTTGCATGTGCAACATGGATTGTGGTAACCTTGAGGAAAAGTGTCCGTGTGACTCTCTGTCGGTAGGTGTATGCGTGTGAGTGAGAGAAAGAGAGAGAGAGAGAGAGAGAGAGAGAGAGAGAGAGAGAGAGAAAAAGCGAGAGACTCCCCAGCGGCGGACCACCAACCAGCGACCCAAAGCAGTACCCAGGCCAAGCCGGGAGCCTCCCCGCTGCCACAAGGCGACGGCAATACAGGCAACATGCACCAAGCAAGCCCCTCACAAGCCACCCATGCCGCAGCACCAACCACCAGCCCACACCAGCTCTCAAGCCACCATCTGGGATGGACGCACCCTTCGGCGCAGCGCACAGCAACCACACTCCACGACCGTCCCGTTGCCGAGCCCACTCAGAGACTGAAAAGTTGTTTTGCTATATAAAGATGGGACTCGTATTGTGTATCAGCTGATACGCTCGCTGAGTTTGTGTGTATTACATAAGTGAATAATGAAATTCGTCAGGTGCTAAAGTGGAATGTTCGGTTTCGAAGCTCAGGCGTGGGTTTTGTGGTGGGTAGATATGGATTTTGAATATAGAAATGTTTGCAGACATAGACATAGACGTAGACCTTGTTGTTTAATTTTGTGTAGTGCCTGTGCCGACGTCTATACTCCGGGTCATCTTGCAGTCAGATACAAGCTGCTGGGATCATCTTCGTCTTTGGTGCAGGTACTACGGCTAGAGAAAGATGAGTTGTCACGGCGCCTGGGAAGCACCGTGCTGGAGCCACCTCGCTTCGTGCTGATGGCCCAGGGCCCCCAACTGGGCAAGGCTGCTCCCCTTCATTCTGCAATGCTGAGTGCGACAGTTGTTGTCCTCGCCAAAACGAATTGGAAGGAGAAGTCGTTGAGCAATGAGACACCACGCTCCTCGGGTGTCGATGTCGTGGACGTTACGATCCCAGACGGCATCCATGCCGGCGATGTTTTCTATGCCGAGGTGCCAGATGACCTGTTGTTTGCTGCCGATCTGAGCTTCAGCTCTCTCCAGGTGAATGGTGTGGAGTTCAAGGTTGTCGTGCCCGAGAACTGCGGGCCTGGTAAGATCATCGAGATGGAGGTTCCATCATCACTCACGCAGGAAGGCCAGCGGCTAGCGGCTGGTTCGAAGGAGGTCCAAAGAGGGTCCGGATTCACCGGGTTCACACATCTGCAGGCCTCGGGCCAGTGACCAGCCGTTCCAGCTCCTACGAGGCATTTTGTGCATGGTTGTGCTTTGCGCCTCCGTACGACTCCGAGCATGACAGGCGCAGGAACCACTTTCAGAGATTGTTGAAGTGGTCATTCCTCCCGGTGCATGTGCCGCGGGCGGGCTCTGTGCTCAGTGACACACTCACCTTCCAGTCATCCTGAGTTCACACTGTCCTGTGCCACCACCTTTTCGAGACCTTGCACACGTGTACTGGAGCGCAGGTTCATTGCGACGCTTCACGGGAAGGCATCCCTGGCTTTTTGGGACATGTTTCTGGCAGTTTTTGGGGAAGGTTCCTGAGAGCTTGCACCGAAGGACTATGAAATCTCTGTTCCAGAAGGTGGGCAAGAAGGGGATACGATCGAGATTGACCTGGTAGGAGAGCTCCGGGGCTCTTGGGATTTGCCATGTCATTGTCATGCTGAGCCGGTTGAGGACTGTCTCAGCCATCCTCGCGGAGCTCGCAGGCTTTGGGCAAAATGCGGCCAGTCATAGCGACAGTCTAGCATGTGGCAATGTTGTGTGCTGCAAGTGCAGGCATCCAAGATTTATGAAGTTGTAGTGCCAGATTTTCTTAAAGCTGGAGATTTGCGCCTTAGCTGAAGCTTGCTGCGCAGCTGCTTTTGAAGTTTCATGCTGAGTTGGCTTTGGCATCTCCGCATGGTGATTGCTAAAAGGTTCATCGCGCAGCTTGAGGGCAAGGATGCGACCGGCGGCGATGTGGTTACACATGTTTACAGATTTACAGATGCATGTCTGGCATGCGCAGGAGTATGAGATCCCGGTGCCCTACAGTTGTCGGGGTGGTGACGTTATAGAGGTTGATGTGTCAGGCGAGGTACTTCAGTGCTGGATCCTGCGATGAACTGTGCCACAGAGGCTTGTCAGAGCCGCCCTCCAGCGCTTCGCAGGGCGCTTCGCAGGGCGCTTCGCAGGTCCCAGAGAGTCGCTGGCTGTGTTGTGTGGCACATGGTCAAGACCGTACGGTAGTCCGCCATTAAACAGGATCGACCAGACCATACCTTTGGAGTCGTCATACCCGCGACACTGTGCGCTCATGACTCGCTGCTTGGCACAGTGGGAGTGTTTGTGGGGAGTGTAGCTCGAACGATGCACATTCGCGATTCAGTGGGAGATCGGAGTTCACCGCGGACGTCACAACAAGCAGCGACCGGATCCGGCGAAGGTATTTTATGAATTTGTCAACCCCTTGTAAGTCGGAGAGATCCACAAGCACAGTTTCTGGTTTCGCCTACGCGCAGACAAACAGACAAAGAAAGAACAGTGTGGTCCAGTGTGCAGGGCATCAAGAAAGCAGCGAGAAGTTGTGCTGCAATCTGAGGTTTACCATTATGGTGCACGGCAAGGTTGCACATCATGCATGCAATCAAGCATTGAACATTTCGTCGTCGGCAGGAGTTCGAAATCAGTGTTCCGGAGGGCAAGCAAGGTGGAGATGAAATTGTGGTTGAGTTTGCAGGCAGTGGCAGTGCAAGCATGTGCAGACATCCTCATGCATTTGTATCTTCAAGAGAACAGAGCCGCTGAAGGTTTGACTCCCCTGGCCGGTAGCCATTGCCTGAGACAGTGTTTCAAGAAACATTGTGGACGTTTGCATGCTCTTATCTCCTCTTGAAAGTTGTGTTTATCCGTTTGGTGACACTGTGCACAGGCAAACTGACCCCGGCCATGGATGAGGAGGCAGATGGGGGACAGTATTCAGTGTTCAGTATTCACCGAGCACCACAAGAACTATCCGATCCTCTTCAGCACAGTCTTCCAACTGTGCTGTGCTTGGGCGTGGCCTGCCTCTTGTGTTGCACGTGGGTTGCGCTTCTGCAGCACTGCTCCGCAGGAGGATGTTAGCGCCACGCCCACGGAAGGCTCCATTGCCCCTGGGTCGGAGGCAGCAGAGGCCTGAACACCGCGTGAAACCCCATACTTCTATGCAGCACTCCTCAGCCTTCAGCCACTCCATGCCACTCGCTGGATGCAGGGCGAAATTACTGACGAGGCTGCTCCTGTTGATTCCGGCCGATGCAACGAGGACCACCTCCTCAGTGTTCGGGTCATGGCAGCTAGACGCTAGACATGTCCCGAGAGGAGCCAGCATCAAAGCGAAGTACTGGAATGCAGCCGAGTGCTTTGCAAGACGCTTTGAGAGAAGAACATCCCGACGTCGAACATGCCTCTGTGTCTTGGCCGCAGGAGGCGTGCAACGTTTCTCTCCTAACCCAAACAGACTGAGGCACCGCAGGTAGGCGGAAAGGAGATCCTGGAGCGCATCCAACCGGAGCCAAAACCAGAGGTGCGGCTGTCGTGCCACACTGTGTCTCCGCAAAGCGTTCCTTGGGAGTTTCATGCTTTCGGGTTCAGACCACAGAACCGCACGACAGAGCCCGAGGGAGACCGCTTGCACACATGAAACTGCCACAGGCGTGCGAAGCTGTCTGACACACGAGGTAGATGAAAAGAATGACAGTGCAACGAACCGACTTCAGCCTTTTCACAGTTGATTCCAATGAATTCCAGCCTTTTACGACTTTGGGGTGTGAGTCTTTGCTGCACGGCATGCCATGCCGGTTCGTAACTACTGATCATGCCAAGAGGTCCACGAAGAAGATTGCGGCAAAGAGCGCGATGCCGCAGTCGAAAACGCCTGCATGCAGGCAGAGGAGGAGGTCGGCATGCCGAGGTGGGACTTGCGATTGGCAAAGCATAGCTTCGCAGGCGGAGCGGCAGCGCCTTGAGTACCTGGAGCGCCAAGCGATAGAGGAGGCTGTCCCTTCGGTGTTCCGTCATCCCGCTTCTGTCATTCTTTCCATCAGGCTGAAAGACTCCGTCGTGAAGAGGAGCTTCTCGGGGACGGTGACATAAGACTCCTCCTTTGCACACTTGCACAAGGAGGAACGTGAAGCTGCGAGAATAGCTGCAGAGAAGGCGGCTGAGGAGGCTGTTTCAGATCTGTTTCAGTTGAGAAGACCCACTGCGTGTCTGCATGGGGTCCTCCATGCGCAAGGCAGAGCGGCAACGCATCGAAGACCTCAAGCGCCAGGCGCTAGAAGAGGCTTGCCGTTTGCATTTGTGCTTGCAGCAGTGCTCGGCAGTCGCGCTGTGTCATGCTGTGTCACAAGGCTGAAAGGGCCGCCCGAGAGGAGGAGCACGACACATGCATTGTTGCAGTTTTGTGACTACGATTGAGACCTTTGCTGCGACACCTCCAGGCAGCTCGTGAAAACGCGTGCATGCAGGCAGAGGAGGAGGCTGGAGGAGGTCGCAGTTGTGCCTAGCCTAGCCTTCAAAGCGCGCAGTGGTAGGCCGAGCGGCAGCGCCTGGAGTACCTGAAGCGCCAAGCAATAGAGGAGGCGCGTTGCAGTGTTCCGCCGTCGCGCTCAAGTTAGCAGCCTCTTCGACAAGGGCCCCACTAAGCATGCGGAGATGCACGCTTTACTGTGCACTCCAGCGGGTCCCTTCTCGCACGTTGGGGGTGGAGCGGGCATTGCCTGGTCAGTACTTTCAATAGCAGCTTAGTATCGACATTAGCGGCGATTACCAGTGGTAGTATTTAGTAATTTAGTATGTGTACCAGTAGAATGACTTCGTATGTAAGAGCACCAGTACTTCGTACTCATACTTGTGAAACCAGTTGCTGACAGCGTTGGGCCTTGATCGAGAGATGTGCAGCCTGCCTGTGCTTGTGCCGACTTTTAGGCCTTGACCCGATTATTGGCAATCGGCAGGAAAACCGGCTAGCCTTTTGAGTGCGCTGCACGTGCATTTCATAGTGGCACCGGAGCCTGAGTGCTTCGAAGATCCATAGCTGCGCCGCTCCGCTTGCTGTGCTTCTCTTCTTTTCCCTTTACCTCCCGAGGGCAGCTGGCTCACTATTTGCTTGTGGGTTTCAGGGGTGGCCTTCTCGAGGGCGACTTCGTGCTGCTTTCGGCCCAGTGGGATTGCTGTGTGCCTGCGGCACCTTCTTTGGCAATCTCAGCTGCGACCTTTGGCCCTGACTAGGGGGCCCCTTCTTCAGAGTGAACTTTGCGAACTTTGCCTTTTGAGGGCCGACGGCTTCGCCCTCCCTGCGTGACCTGCCCAGCTGCGCAGGCTTCTTTGGGTCCTCTACTTTTGGTGGCGACTAGGCCACCGGGCTGCTGGAGATTTTCACTTTGCCTTCGAGGCCGATCTTTGCTACGAGTTCTTTTCTTTGTGGGGCCCTCGGCTGGAGCATTTTGCCAAGATGGCCGAGGAGGATAAGACAGCGTCTGCGTGGTACAAGGTGCCCACGTGGGATGGCAGCCCTCTTACGTGGAGGGCCTTTGAGAAGGAGATGCAGTGGTGGGTCTCTTCTTTGGACCTGGAGGCCACCCGGAAGTACAACTTGGCAGCAAGATGGCTGCTGAGGCAGCAGGGCGTGGTCAGACAGAGGGGAGAAGAATTTACTCCCAAGGAACTTGAATTCCAGCCCGAGGTCAAGACTACAGACCCGGATGGCGTGGAGATTGTCGTGGTGAAAGAGGACCTCCTGGCAGGCCTGAACAAGCTCATGAAAACGCTCGAAACCATAAATGGTAAAACGCCGCTGGACCGCAAAGGAGAACTTCGCAACCAATTTTATTTGGGACTTCAGCGGCGGGCCGGGGAGAGACCAGCAGATTTTATGTCAAGGTTCAGATCGCTTACCTCCGAGCTACGAGCGGAGGGGATAGCCCTCCCGGCGGCCGAACTTGGATGGTTTTT